ATGGTTAGTGCGCTCGTCTCCGGATATAGCAGTCCGGGTTCGAGCCCTGACCGGGGACATTGCGTTGTATTCTTGGGTGGAGAACGAGGGCGAGTAGTCTAATTGTTTAGGTATAAATTTACCGTAGTCCAATTACACAGAAAATGTCAAGTAACTCATCAGGAGTCCATGGCTATATACGCGTAGAAAAGAACCGTTTCATTGTGTTACATCAGACAATTCAAAGGTGATGCAATGTCCACTGATGCGTGTAGAAAAAACCACGAGTGCAACTGTCTTCTAACAGCAAGCTGAATCTCGAGCTCAGAGTCTCTTCCACTCAGTCAACCGCTGACCGAGCCGGAGAGACTCAGGGCACGGGATTGACAGCCGATAGATAATGGTAATAGAGCCAGTCAAATTCACGGACTCACAATTGACTAGGGTAAATTTATCGAGTTATTATGGTGCACGCGAAAAGTTTGGAAAGCATAAAAAGAAGCGTTAGAGTAGCTTAAGGCGATAGTCGAAAGCAACCCCAGCTTCTGGAGTTAAAGTCAACTCTACCTTCAAGAAACTAGAATTCAGTGCTCTCGATCGATCAGTCATCACCCCAAGCAACTCTTAGGCTTCTTTCGTGCCCTCCAAACCTCCCACGTGTATCATAACTTGATAGTGAACGCTAAAGCATGAACCAGTTGTTAATTAAAGGTAAGAACTATCGAATCACCAGGCGTGGCTAAGCTAATTTATTAACAACAAGGAAGTGCATAAATTAACCATTTTCATAATGAAATCTGATCACTGTAAACAGTTGAATATTCTATTGTTAAAATAAAGTTGTCCTTATGACTCTTGGTATTCACATGTTTTGAGTTAATTATAACGTAGCTGCTCCTTTTTAAAGTAATTTTAGTCAGCTGTTAGATGCTACAATGTAATACACAAGCTTTCGTAAATCAGTGTCTTCAATTCCAATTCAATTCAATGCAATTCTTTTATTTCACTATACAGGGCATTTTAGATACAATTTATGGGTAAGGGACCGTTCATTTTTTATGAGGGAGGGGGGGCTGGTGGGATTTGGGAAGCACCATTTAAAAAT